CCTTTTTTGAAATATGTTTTGCATTGCTGTCAGCGACAAAGCACAGGATCGTTGGCGCAGCAGTGAAATCATTTCAAATTTTATAAATAATTCGAAGCCATCTTCTAGATGGAACATTATGCAATGATTAATCAAATTCGTCGAAAATTAGAATTTATGCAATAGAAGTTCTTTTGATTCGAATCGATCATTGTCGATGAATACGATCACCAGTAAAAGCACGAGATCCAGGCTGAGAAACCGTACCAAAATGTGCTTAAGCTAATATCAATAGTTTCAAAATTACATAATCCACAACGAAGCCATTCATTCATAAAGGTAAATCCAAGCAAACCAGAAAGATAATATCTGGCTAGCTTTTCATTATCGTCCCATTAATTTAATTTAGTCTTAGTATAACAATGATGTAAATGATAGACAGATTAACCATAGACACCATTATTCCTCAAAATTTCGCATCAAATGATACATATTCTAACAGTGAAGGTATCTGTGCATTCAGTGATTGAACCAATAAATACCATTGCCAAGCACATCATCATTTTGCAATGATGAATTCCAAAAAATAAAAGAATGGATCACATATAGCTTCTACCAACAAATACGAATTCAGTTTTTTACAAAGCACTTATTTAACATAATTGTTGGTGCTATAGTTGATAGATGGACTGATAACCAGAAAATATACATGAAAAATATATCTTCCATTTCAACTTTTCTTTCTTTTTTTCCCTGTAATATGTCTTTCATTTCAATGATCTAAAATTGGTCAGAATTTGCTGTTATAGTTTTAGTTACTTTAACTCCCGAAATACGTGAAAATATTTCTACACAATATGTCTTAGTTCATCTTATATTCATTTTCGACCGTGAAGTGTGCAATACTTCAAACATTCAGTGCTTCACAATAACCGCTGCCTTCAATTTTCTATAATCGATGGATCTACGGCACGAAAGTTTTCGTTTTTTCTTCTTTTTTTTTCCAATGTCTTTTTCTTTCAAATGCTCTTTGCATTGTACCACTTTTTTTTTATTTAATATCCATCTGATATAATTTTATGGTTGTTCAACCAGTTACGAAAGATGCTTTAAAACTTTAAATGTTTTTAAAGTTAAGTCATCTATAAATGAAATGGATTTACTCTATCGTTTTCGATTAATGTTGCTTTAAGCCATAAGACTCATTCGTTATGAACCAAATTTAGCAAGTTTAAAATGCCTTTGCATATTTACTGATGAATGAGTACAGCTATCAAAATGCGAGTTAATTAACTTCATTTGGCATCATTAAGCTTTTCGCCAATAGTTAGTTGTAAACCAGACATTTAATATCAAACTTTTATTATCGCATAGCTGCAGTTAAAACAAAAAATTTGCACTGTTCATGAAGGAACTACTATTTCGAAAATAAGTGAGCGAAGTATTGCCACAAATCACACAATTGTTTACAAGAATTTAAAACGATTAAGCGTATTTCCGAGCAGACAATCCAACTAAACAATTGGCTGATGAGTGATCAAACTTTGCGACAATTGAAATTGCGTAAACAAGTGCAAGATGAAGCATTGTGTAGTCAATAGTTAGAATGTATCGCGTTGAAAGGGCATGTCAATAATAATACTTCATCCCATTATTTTTTTGATCATCACTGATCAATAATCTGTCTATCATTGACATCATTGGCATGCTAAAACTGAAGAAAAGTATATACGATACCATGGGAAGACACCAGCTATTACCTGTCTGGTTTGTTTCTTTTATCCGATGAATGGTTGGCCTGATTGTTGAGCATGTAATTTCGACCGTTTCCATTGGTAATAGCTGGCAAGATGGACGGCACTAACTTGTCCAGTCATTTTTTGGGAGGTAGTTCTACTACCGACGGATGTAAACATCGACAGCAGATGCATTGCATAAATTTCGATTTCCGATCAATTTCACGAATTTTTGATTAATCATTGCATAATCTTGTCAATCCTTTGAAAACATCCTTAAATAATCTTTTTTCCTTTCAGAACATTTTATCTGAAATAAACAGGTAAAATTACCATTATGATTTGGGACAACTATACGGTCATTCATTCATTCAATAATTTACTAAAAAAAATTGACGCCAAAATTTTTGCCAAACCGTTATTTTCTCTATGCTACGATTCATCACATCACAATCTCTCATGCAAACCAATGTGGTAATTGAAAGGATAAACTATTCTTATGCATCCAACAGATGATCAGACTGAAGATGAGGTGAGCAATCAAACCTCAAGTATGACTGCCAAGTGACCTTGATAATATGGTACTAATGTCAATGATAAACATATCGATGAAAAGTAAAGATCGCGATAAGAAAGAAATGATATGGCAAGTTTCTTTCATATGCGACACACTAACTATCTATTTTATCCATCGCTTTGGTCGCAAAGATAAAAAAAAAATGCAATTCCTTTGCCTAATTATGCGCATATATCTGAAGTTTCGAGTTTCGCCCTAATGAAACTAATGGAATGACTTTTTTCACTTAACAATGTGACAATGAGAAAGGATAAAAAAAAAGAAGACTATTTCTCTAATTGCAAAAAGTCTTGCTTCTGTTTTCTTTTTCATTGTAATAAATTATCTTACGTTATCTTTCTTGAATATGGCTAATTTTTTTATGACGGTATACTGGAAATTTCCCATTCGTCCTTACGTCATGTTTAAAGTATTTCGATTTTAAACGATTGGATCATTCATTTTTCTCAAGCATATCATTTAGCCAATAAGGGAGAATTGTTAGCACGATTTCAGTTAATCCTTAATACCACCTAAATAATCAATTCAATGACGAACAAATAGCAAAAATCTTTTGTTCGTTATAATTGTACTCAAACAATATGTAAATAAATATAGATGGACAATCAATAATATATGGCGTTGTGGATAGTGGAACCTTAACTGATAATAATGAATATGTGCTTCTTAACATGCACCATTCAGTCACAGCAGTTTAATTAACTTTAGAAAAAATAATAGTTGTTGCTCTCGAGAACTTTTCGAAAAGTGAAGGAAGACGATTGAATCTGTTTAAAAGTTCACTTATTGAATCAATCAGATATTGATTAAAGTAATCCCAATTGCTATAAGTTCATTTCATTTAAGTACAAATTATATATTTATTATTCGCTTAATTTTTGATAATAATAATACATGCTGTATTAATGAATATATTTTTAAATTTAGTGGTTGAACTAAAAAGTTGAATTTAGTGGTTGGTTGAAAAATATCGTTTCCGAAGATATCGTCGTTTTGTAATGACAAGTTTCAAAAGCTAAACGAACAATATAAACGCTATCTTTAACCGTATATCGTACAAACAAAATGCCATTAAGTGTAAGTAACTGCAGCATATCCGGTTGTTTGTACGGTTGAGACATTAACCAGATTTTTGCTCCAAATCTTGAAATGTTTATGAGAGACTGAAAAGATAGATGGACTAATAATTAGAAACATGTCTTATCTCTTTTTCTCTCTTTTCTTTTAATGCTCTGAGGTTAACTCGCTATCATCAATGAGTTTCAGATTTATCAAATGATGTTGTATGTTTTTCAACAAACATATGATCCTATTTTTTGTTCAGTAAATGATAACGTTTGAATTAAATCATATTTTCCTTATACAAAGTGAAAATGTAAAAAGACGGTATTATTTTTTGTCACTTTAGGAAAAAAGACGTTCCAAAAAATAAATAACAGATATTATCAGACTTTTGGCTACCATCAATAGGTTTGACCGGAAAGATTTATTCAACAATCAAATCAATCATCCGTGTAAATGGATTTTCTTGTCTCCTCAACATATGCGATTTTTTGAATGATTTTTACAGATAAATTGTAAATAAGCCAAGGTTTTTAATTCATGCCAGGTATAATTGCAAACCGAAGTACTTTTAATTAATTATATCATGATAATAGTATTGCTTTGCACATTTAACAACTGTCCAAGTACTGTCTCTATTCATTGTCATTAAAAAATGATTGTGCATATAACTGTCGTTAGTCATACACTCCAGTCGGACATGACCTTAACATATGCAATGGACACTTGAATAGGCAAAGGTATTGAGTAATTAAAAATTATGAATGATTAATCGTCCTCACCCATAACTTTCGGAAAGTTGTCTTCAAAAGTGGCAATTACAACAAATAAGCAGCTATGGATAAGAGGTATGCTTCGAGAATCACACATTCACTATTATTATTCGAAGTTCTCATGCTCACAATATCATATATCGTAAATTATCCAACAATCATTTTTTGGAGTGAAATAAAAATATTGCAACTTTTTTTGAAGTTGTTGTTGCATTCATAATTTTTCCCATATTTTCTATGATAATGAATTGCATTTCTAAATTAAGCAAGAAATCAATTGACGGCATTATGAAAATTTTATAAATCATAATATAAATCATAAATCATATATGAAAATTTTATAAATCATAAAAAATCATAATTTTATAAATCTTTCGCTTTCTTCTGAATGAAATATTTTGGAATTAACAGGATTACACAATGATTATTCAGAAATACGTCGAATTCATTGCAAATCAAAACTTGAATACGATTAACGCCCACGTAGGATGCGGATGGTGTAATTAACCAAACAGTATATGGCTTTTATTAGTTTGACCACTCAGCACGCGTCAACTCCTTCCAAAAAACCTTGTGCAAGGTTCTCCATGCAGTCATCAAGTGTAACGTTCATGACATAAATGTCAAAACGAAACACTTCTTCCCGCTCAGGAGATGACGCCATGCCACATCATCGCGGCTGCGCTCCGTCGCATTTTCGCTGATAGCGAAGAAATACACACTACAGAAATGATTCTGTGAAGTATGATCTCAGCACTACTATCTCCAGCTCTGGTTCTCATTAATTGCCATTGC